AGCAAAACTAGTGACAAATATATTTTAATGAAACAGGTTCTTCATTTTAATTTGTAAGTTTTAAATCTCTGCTCTTTTCAGTGGTGTGACTGGGGGCCACTTCCCAGCTGAAAGCTTAAAATCAGCCATGTTAGGAATTTTTACACCGTGGAAACCAGCAAAGGTTACAAATCAGTACATTTTTTCCTTAGAGAAATATTTACCTACATGCCACTGACTCATTTTCTACTTCTCATCCCCTTCTCTCCAAGACTCTGGCATGTGACCTTGGAAATGAGAAAATAATTGGGGAGAGGGAAGATACAATTTTCCAGTCTCTATTACACCTCGGACCTAAGTTTTTTAAGGTGTCTCCCTTCTCATAAAGCATTAAATAGGTTCTTAACAAAGCATAATCCACATGGCTTCCCCTGCTTCCAGAGAGGTCCTATACTTTTTCTACCTCATGCAGAAAATTAACATAATTAGGCTATAAATCTGATACCTCTAGACTTTTAGTTCTTCCCTCAGAGAGAGATACAGGGACCTCTTTGTATACCAACACCCCCAAATCCATATATTCCAATTTTCAGACATGTCTCATAAAAGAAAAAAAATCACAATTTGGCATCCCAGTCTAGGAAAACCAGAGATAATTCTCACACTTTCATTATTAACCCATTTATCAAACTAATTACCTTAATACCTTTTCCTTAATACCTATGTCAGAGCAATTTTATAAGATGAGGAAATTATTTTAGTGCTTGGGTAATGGAAAAAATATACTAGAAGCATGATTTTTTTTTAATAAGAATGATTTGATATAACTTAGTTTCTTTTGTACTGTTCACTAGGATTCATATCTTATGCCATTCCTTCAGGTATCAAGAAAGGCAAAAATGTTTTACTTAAGTTAAATTAATTAAAACTTTTAAAAATTCAGTATTCCAGTTTTCATGACTTTAGTCAAATGCCTTGATCACATTTCACTCTTTCAGATGAATTGACTCCAAAGTATAATAGTAACAAATTTATTATATAACTCACTATAGCAACAAAAGAGTTACTAAACTTAAGATAATGAGAACAAATAGCATACCTCTTAGAATTTCCATTTGCTTTTTTAAAAAATAGTTTCCATAATTTCCACTATTTACTTTATATGTATTGTACAACACAAGTAATCTTACACTTCACCCAGAATGCCAAGTAGTTGAAATCTAGATTTTGCAAGCATACTTTGACACTATTAACTAGTATAGTTCAAGGGACAATTATGCTCATAATTTGCTATGTCCGCACTCATCTGCATCTTCCAAAAGTAAAAATCAGTATTATCAACAGTGTCTTCGTAGGATTTCATGGTTTCAACAGATTTATCAAACAGACGTATTAATCAGGCACTGTACTATGTGAGAGGGACAAAAAGGGTGAAATTAAGGCTGTCCTGTCCTCAAGAGGGTCTAGTCTTGGGGAGGTTGTGCACACATAATGGAACTGCTAAGATAATTGCATGCAAGGACCCAAGCAGAGGAATATGGAGAGTGGATCCCAGCCCAGAGAAGGGCGCTGATTGATCCGGGAAGCAGAACTACAAAGTTTACTGAAGTCTGTACAGAATTGCTTCAGCCACCATTTAACTAGGGCTCAAAGCTGTTCCAAGAGCAGGTACAGATGAAAAATGCACAAAGTTGATTGTCAGTCAGTCTCTGCACCCTGTTTCCATCACCTGTTTTTATCATCCTGTGCCATGACAACAGAAGACATGATTGGAGTCTCTGTTCTGTTCTTTTTTTTTTTTAATATTATTTATTTATTTATACAAGAACCGGGGTACAGGACAGATGCGCTGGAGGGTGAGAGGATTCACCAGAGACAGAGCAGGGAACAGAATAGGCAGACTGATGAAATACACTGCTAAGGAGGGCAGCGGGCTTGACAGGAGAGGTCTGCAGCACTATGTGGGACCCTCACCAGCCGGCCGGGATTGAGCCTGCGCTGCAGAGGCTGCAGGCAGCTTCACAGCGCAGTGCTCAACTACCTGAGCCACGAGGGGAGGCCCTCTGCTTTGTTCTTAATGCTGATTTTTTCTTTCAACCTTCGGAGTTTAGGCAAAATACACTATCTAGTTTGTGTTCTAATAACCCTCCAACTGGTGTGCTATGCAGTTACATTAAGTCACCTCTTAGCTTTCTTTTTTTTTCAGAATTTTAATTCCTAACTTTTCAAAATTATCCTTGGTCCACATTTTCTTTCCTTTTATGGTGAATAGTGAACTTCATCCTGCTATTAAGATTGATCATATAATACACATTGAAGGAAATATTTCTCTCAAAATAACTTCTCAGAAATATATGACTATGAAAGTACAATATGGTAAGACTTCTCTGCACATGGTTGAACAAACTCTTCTAGAACATTGTGGACAATGTTAGCATTTAGTTAAGGCATTAATGTCCTGCCTAGTTAATTAGAGTGGAAATACTTCTTTAGTACACTGTTGCATTCTTTTTGCTGTGATATATTTCTGAAAGATGATCTTCAAACAGTATAAACATTCTTTGTTCTCTTCTCCTTAATGATTTTGGAAGAACAAATTGTTTATGCATATAGGCCAAGAATGTTTTCATATCATGTATTATGTTAAGCAATAATTATCCTTTAGTTATTTACTTACCTTTATTCCTTCCAGAACTGATTTCTTCTCCAAAAAAGAACAAGTGTTAATTAAAATAATTTTAGAAATGACCTAAAAGTCATTCAAAATATCTTGAGTAGGTTTAACATATCATGTGGAATTGCTCAGGAAGTCCTTTTAATTAACTAAATGACACATTCTCTTTGCATACACAAAGAAGAGAGACAAACAAGTGATTTCAGAAGTCTCATCTTTGCTTAGCAAATCTTTCTATTATTTCTGGCTGTATTACAAGTTCACAAAAAAAATCCACCCCAGAAAACATCATACCCACAGCCTGTCTTAGATTTTTACTGTAGGCATTATAGGTAGGTATAGATGCAGATACTTAAACCATCCCCTCTTTGCAGGACAACTCAGAGGAAATAAGCTACAGAGTGCCTTAGCAAGTCTTCATGTTTGGAAGGAGATGGTGTGTTTTTATTTTTGCCAGCAACTTACTATCCTTCTTTAGATTTAAAAAAAAAATGATTTTTTTCAATAGCAGTTTATAGGAAGTCCAAATGATTTATAAAGAGAACTAGATGGTAAAGATAATGAAATACTGGTTCGGTTTTTGAGGGTGACTGCAGAGTCAACTATTTGAGGGACTTTAAAAGGAGACTCTATATCCTTTTAATAATAGCATTCATGATGTAGTGTGATACAGGGGTAGTCCTTCGGAAGACAGGATATTGCAGCATGACTGCTCAGGGTTTCTTCAGTTTTGAAGTTCTATGACAAATGAACCTGTTTTTCTTAAAACTGTTTACAGAAAGGCTCAAGGCTCAGGGTTTTCAATTTATAGACAGGCTTATAAAATTTATTTGGTTATTTCTAACAATAGTTAGCAGATGTAAGCAAGGTAGAAGTCTGGAACTCATTCTCAAGTTGGGGGTCAGGCCTTGTACCTGCTGGTTTCCATCCTTAAGCTGCTGTGTGAACTTCCTCAGAACCATAAAGGTTGCCAAATGGAGAAAGTGTTATGACCCAATTTCTCTATACACATGTACCATTTACTTTACAACCTTGAAGCCTGATAAATAGGGAGTGCTTCATCCTGTTTTCTGGGTTAGCAGTGTTTGCCATGCAGGTGGAATACAAGCAGGTAGAATTTCATACTGTGCTAAATCACAGCATTCTGAAAAACTCAGGGCCTTGCAAAAGGCCATATCTCAAAAAAGTTACTGCTTCAAATAAATGTGCCATTTTATAAAATTACACCTACTGTATCAGAAAAAAATGTTCTTTCATATGAGTGACATTTATATGACTGCCATTTATAGGACTAGGACATTCTCACATAGCAAGTTGAAGAATGGTTTTGAAAGAAGAGAGTATTCGCTGAATAATAAATGTGGTAGAAATGTAAGATATAAAGTATGGGGAGAGACTCCACAACTGTGTGGTTTCCCTCTAAAAATGAAACCTGGATTATTATGAAGAAAGTAATTGCTTGATTATACTTTATAGAATTAGCAAGATTTTCAACATATTTTAAATCTGCAAGCATATTTAGTCATCGATTTTCACCTTGTTAAAGATGGATTTTGTGGATCAACGTGGCCCAATGGTTGCTTTTTTTAATCTGGAAACTGAGGCCGAGGTTTTGAATTTATCATTAGAATTAGGAATAGAATTTCCAGTGCCCCATCCCTCTTCGCCATCCAATACACTTTTCATTATACCAGTTATCTATTAGAGGAAGTTACCAAATTGCCATCCAGGGGTGAATAATATCTATCTTCCAGTTGTCTCTGCACACAGGGAACCAAGGTTTTATTTTCTCTTCACGATAAATTATATTCCAACTAAGATTTCTCTGAAAAGCAACTGCTAAACTGTAGAAGGAGATTTAAATCAAGACCAAGGCTGGAAGTGGTTGCAGGTATCAGGACTAATTTCAGTTCTTTCTCAAAAGGCAGCCTCAGGTCTGAGACAGCGGAGATTGCCCAAATCACTTTTTTGCCAGGATCCTTCTGATGAGTACCACAAGATTGCTCTAATGCAGAAATAAGACACACACAGGAATACACCTCCGCTCCCCCCACCCCAATCCCCCTCAAAGCTTACTCCTTTGGTCTTCTGGACACCTGGGATGGAGATAAGCGAGAACACTTCAGGAAGTTAGAAGCAACTGAATTGCTGAACTATTCTGTGCTACAGCTTTGTATCTTTGTATGGGCTTTCCTGCGAAGGGGTTTAGGGGCATCTTCTTTTCATTATCAGCGAGCTTGGAGAGTGGGGTTCTGAGAACAAGGACAAGAGGTGGGCTAAAGCAGGTAAAAGAGGGGGCCCTTGTGACAAATGGTACAATCAATCAATAGCCAGCAGCTCGACCCACCTGCAGGAGAGGTACTTCCAAAGGCAGCTGCAGCCTGGGCGCCCTGGGGCCAACTGCGGGGCCGGAGAGCAAAGCTTCGCGGAGCTTCAGCGCTGTGCTGTGTGACTCGCTGCTCTTGCCTCTTTAAGAAGCCAGAGTGGGCGGGGGGAGGGGAAGGGCCCGCTGATTTCGTAAGAGAAGTAGTGAAGAAAGTTCCAGGAAGAGTTCAGACTGGGAATCCCTCTCAGCTTGAAAGGACTAGAATTTCCTGTGCTGCCACTGCCTTCCTTGCTGCAGTTATTGCCACAGATCCGCAGATCTTTGGCCAGCAGGGTTTTTCCCGGAGTTCTTTTTTTTTTTTTAAAGATTTATTTATTCATGCATACAAAAATTGGGGTACAGGCCAGATGTGCGGGAGGGTGAGAGGATTCACCGGAGCCAGATTGGGGAGCAGAACTACTGAAATACATTGCTGAGGGGAGCAGCGGGTGCGACAGGAGAGGTCTGCTGGGACATGTGGGAATCTCCCTGGCCGACCGGGATAGAACCCTAGAACCCGCGCTGCAGAGGCAGCTGACAGCTTCACAGCGCTGTGCTGACCACCTGCACCACCAGGGGAGGCCCCTTCCTGAAGTTCTTGGGATCTGTGCATCCCCAGATATTTGAGTCTTGGACCTTTTTCCTGACGCAGCCAGAGGAGTCTCTTTGAGGAGCTGAGAAAACACCACCTGATCTAATCTTTTAGGCGTTTCTCCTTTTCCTCGTTTGTCTCGATTCAGAGAAAAAATGGTATCTTTCCCCTCTGCCTGGAGGACCTCCTTAGTTCTTATAGTGTTCATAGCTTGGATGATCTTGAATTTGGAGGTGCTGATTTAGAGATTAAACAGTTCAAAAGAAACAAACCAAATGAAAGAGGGAAGATGATGAGGACACCTTATTGAATATATCTATATAATATTGCATAATAATGTGCAATAACATGCATTGCATTATATATGTGATACAGTTAACAAGTTCGTCTTTCCCCCATTTTTTGCAATTCCCCTTATCTAGCATTAACAGGATTGATGACTTGTCTTTCCCATTTGTTGCAGCTCCCCCTCCCCTTCGCGGATGCCTACCCATCTCCCCCTGTATAAATACCCCTGCCCACTGCCAAAGAGGAGGACGGTGGTTTTTCGGACATGAGTCTGCCTCCCTCCTCATTTGTCGACAAATAAAACCGCTTTCCTTTTCCTCAAACTCAGTTTCCTTTTATTGGCTGAGGGAAACTGAGGCCGGCGTTCGGTAACAATTTTGGCGAGCCAGCCAGGAGGTGGATGCCACTTCGGCTCTCCCAACCCCAACTCTGACTTCCAACTGACGGAGCTGTTGCCTGCTGCAGCGCACCAGGGCTCACCTATCTATGCTGGTCTGTGCTGTCAGAGAGGGGCCTGGACATCCCGGGTGGCATCCTGACCCTCCTGCTGAGAGGGAGCACCCTCTCTCCAGGAGGATGAGGGAGAGTCCCAGCAGCTACTGGAGTTCTTTTTCCTCCGGGGAACTTCCCAAGTCCTCCTCGGGAGAGGCACAGCTCTTCTCTGCACCCTGGATTTACCTTTGAGGAGATGGAAACTGGATGGAAAACCGCGGTCCCCTGGCGTTTGGTGTAAGTTCCCCTGGTGTGCTCGCCAAGACCTTGGCCTTCACACGTTCGGGAGGAATCTGAGTCCCCTTGCGGAGGGAGTTCAGGTCTCCTCATTTGGGAGGGAGTCTATGAGTCTCCCTCAATTTGGAGCGCTCTTTGGTGTGTTAGGCCCGGTTGAGTGGGAATTGGGAAACATTTGGTGTTTTTGTCACTTGATATCTATTTGGTATTTGGTATTTGGAGTTTCCCGTTTGTTTTTGGAAGCCAGGGATTTAGTTAGACTTATGAGAGGTGCCGTATTTGTTCCATCTAAAAGCCCCTTGGGGAAAATATTAACTGAGTGGTCGACCTGTAGCTACAAACCTATGTCTAAGAAGCAACCCCTATCACGGTTTCCCTGCAGGAGCCCAGGAAAAACTGATTGTGGGGAACAGACTGATTTTTTTTTAGCACAAGAGCCAGGCAATATACTCTCCTTTTCCACATTGGCTGGCTCACCTGTGAGCTCCTTTTATCTATGCTCTGCTAAAATCTTACCCTGACATTCAGTGTCAGTCCAGATGCTTTGGCTTTAGGCAACCTAAGATTATTCTGACTCTTCTAGGACATTGGCAGATGGCTGGAAGGACTGTAATTGTTCCAGAGAGAAAACTGGGCTTGGACCAGGATTTCTACTTGATGTTGTTTTTGGAGTTAGTGGGTCTGGAGTGCGGGGGTCTTTGGGTTCACTATGGGAAAGGTGTTGCCAGAGCTCCTGTTTCAGGGACCTGCAGCAAGCTTCCCAGGCCAGTTTCTCCAGGAGACAGAGACATTAGTTATATTGAAAGGGCAGGTTTATTAGGGAAAGGGGACAAGGAAAGTAAAGGAGACACAAGCGGGCAGGAACAGCTGCCCCAGGAGGGACAGGTTTGCTGAGAGAGGCCTGCGTGGTTGCAGGTGGGTGGCTTTGAGGAGAGTGACCTCCGCTGAGGGAGGTCAGTGAGGAGAGGCCCCAGAGAGACAGGTCATGGGCAGGCAGGGAGGCTGCTGCCCTGCAGAGGGAGAGGGTTGGTGAAAAGAGGAAGCTACTTAGGCACAGGTGGGCAGACGGAGTGCTCTCCAGAGCCTGTGCAGAGATTGAACGGATATAGTTGTCTTCTGTTTGGGAGGGATTCGCCCCTTGTGAGCCTTCGGGTTAGTTGCTGATTCTGGATAATTATGTAGAATCTGAAAGTGACCAGAGATTCTACAATAGGCCCAATTCTACAATAGGCCCAATCTCCATATCTTTAAACCTGCTTGGGTGTTATGCTTTGTAATCTAGGCATTGGAGACTGAGGATCTTGGTTTCCATAGCTGTGTCAATGGCTATGCTAATCCCTTCTACCCAGGCCTCCAGCTCTTGGCATTTTGTGAGCCAGGTTTTTGGTCTTGTGGACACCTCTTTTTCAGTTTTTCTATTCTTGTCTTACCTTACCTTTTCCCATTTTATGCAAATAGATTTGTGAATCTGATCTTTGTGCCTGCGTAAGGAATTCAAGCAAGTATCTGGAATCAGGTCTTGGATAATTTAAAAATTTGGTATTTTTTCTGCTTTTTATGTTTTAGTCAGATACCTAACTCAGTATTTACCAGTCACTGTAATAATTGGATGTAAAGTAAGCTGAAGAGAGTGTTCTCCACTTTAAGGAGGTGTTTTCTTCCTCTAAATTTGCAGGCTTTTTCTGATCACGTGCTGAGACTTCTGGGATCAGGCTCAGATGGTTTCGTCAAGATTACTTTGGACTTTCTAGTTAGCTATAAAGGAAGCTTGCTAGTTGGTTGGAAAATTTCTAAACTTCTTATTGACCATAAAATTTTAGGTTTCCTTGAAAATCTAAGTCTCTTAAAGTAATCAATTTACTAATCAAACTACATAGTAGGTTTCTGTAAATAATATTCCTTATCAAATTTCTAGTAAGAATCTAAGAACAAATAAGCTGCCAAGTTAAGATCTTAATTTGCCTCTTCTGCTGTCCTTCTCGTGGCCCATGTATATCTCATGGCCCATGTTCTATCTTTCTTAGGACCAGGCCTCATCCGTGAGGTCAAACAGAAACTAGGACTCTGTGAAGCAATTTGAGTTTTCTATGCTTGTCTTTAAAAATGGTTCCAATCTTGGGTTCTAGAGGTTTTAAAATGATTAAAATGGGATGCTTATTAGAACATGTAAGGACTTTAACTTCCATCTCTCTTATTGGAAACCTCCTTGATTAAAACAAAAACAAACAAATAAAAAAAAAACAACAGAACTTAGATGGCTATATCAACTTAACTTGAAAACTTAAGTTGTTTTAGGAATTAGTCTATCTTTGTATTGAAAGGGATATAGTTTTGGTGAAACTGTCTACCCATCCAATATCTCTTCTAGGAATTTAAAGGAATATGTGGCCTTAGAAAACTGATAGGGAATTTTATGCCCCACTTTCTTTAGAACCTAAGGGGCATTCTTACAAATATAACTTGAGAAATGTTTTCTTATCTGAAGGAGTTAGTTAGAAAAGATATTAAAAAGCAAATTAATAATTGTTGTCAGTGTTGTCAGAAATATTGGTAAAATAACTATCTCTAAAAATTAGTGCAAATGGCCAAAATTCTAAATGAAAGAGATCTCTGTGTCTATGTCTTTGCCTTTGTGTTTTTTGTCTCTGGAGGGTTACTGTGTTAAAAATCATTTTAAATGGCGCCTATATAAATTCTAATAGAAAAGAACCCAAATTTTGAGATCGCGATCTAAAATTTTTGGTAAACAAAAACTAGTTCAAAATGTAATGGTTTAATTAAAGCACATATGTCTTAGATTTATAATGTTGGGAGTTAAAAGTTTTATTGTATGTTAAATGTGTTTTAAAAAATTTGGAGTGGTCAAAAAAAAAAGAAAAATATTGACCTGGTCTATGTTAACAGAGATAAGTGTGATTTTGTTTATAGCTGGACTTCTTTTTGATAAAATTCTCTTCTAAAAAGATTGGCCCACTATTTATTTACCTTGAAAGAAATACCTTTGTTCCCCAGGTAAGCAACTTAATTGATTTTTCCTTCCCTTGTCCTAGCCAAGGAAAAAAAAAAGAAAAACCTCTGGTATATAAATTTGTTTCATTTATAACTCTGCAATTTGAACTTCGTATCCTAAGAAAAACTAGAGCTACAGTTGGTATCTCTGTTCTTCTTATCATTATTTAAATGGTGGTATATTTTTCCTATAAAACTAAGGATTTACTAAGTTTAATAACGAAAGTTTGTTGACTGCTTGATGAGCTTTTGGTGTATTTTTGCTTCTTATAGTAGGAAAACAAAACTTTATTGTTATCATCCAGGAAAAAATAAAACATGTGTTTATGTATGAGTTATCCAGTACAAAGGAATAATAGCATAACAGCTCTAACAATGTCTTAAAGTAAAAAATGTGAGGCTTGCCTGTTAATTAGCTGAAGTTTTGTTGGGACAAGGCCTGAGTGGACTAAAAGTTTCAGGGAGTGACTGATGGACTTTCTCTGG